TACACACAACAACCACTACTACTAACTAAACTAAACTAAATAATATTTATTATAATAATAAATAACACACAACAACACACACACACATATATATATATATATATATATATATATATATATTAAAAACATATTAAAAAATATTCCAAGTTACACATGCAGAACTTCCTCAACAATTTAGTCTTTTTTTCAAAGATTAAATTAATTTTTTTACCTGACAGGAGCTTTGTGTACATAAAACGACTCTGCGAGCCTGTAGATGTCTCTCACATCACTCTGTGAAGGATCAGCCACTATCACCTGAAAATTTAAGATTTTTTTGTTTACATTTTTAAAATTTTATCAAATACATAGTAATATTCTAGGCCACACACAGAGGAAGCAGTCTGGTTAAAATTCCTGATAGTTTTTCCTTTTCATAGGTTTTAAAAAGTATGTAATAACACATTTTACAAAGATACAACTGAAATGTATTTCATTAAAATCTCCAATATTATATACTATTTTGACACAAGGTTTAAGTTTCAGACATAATAACATAACCTCTAAAACAGATTTAATATAAGCTAAACTAAAGTATGATTACATATATTATGTCGTATATGAGCTCAAATGTTTCAAAATGAGCATTTTAATACTCAGAAGCCACAAAAGATGGTTAGGATTGTACAAAAGTTAACAAGAGTAGCAATGGCTAGTTTTTATTCTAAAGATTTTGGCCATCAAATGAATAATTCACTAATTTTACTGATAAATTTTTGATATCTATTTGTATTACCGTTATCACATCTAGGTTTATAATTGTTTTAGAAAAGAAATTTACTTGTCAAAGCTTTTATTTGTTAGAAACAATTTCAAACATTCTGACAACTAGAGAACTTTCAGTATCAGCAATTACATGACTGCTGACAAAATAAATATTTGAAATAGTTTCCCCAGTGAATGTTAAAAATTTAGTAAGATGAATAATGAAAGTAACTAGAATGGAATTTAAAATAATTACCAAGTGATATATGTTCTTTCTAACATTTCGCAGCATTCCTGGGTATGATGGTCGAAGCAAATCTTGTATGCTACTAGGCCAATTCCTATACTGTTTGTCTGATTCTATATCATTCACGTACTGTAACATGAAGAAAAAAGAAAAGAAAACTGTTTTAAATCAAATGTAATTTTAAAACAATAACAGCTTGTTTCATAAAATTATCTCTCAAACTTGCTTTCATTCCAATATAAACTACATATTTCAGATATAAATGATAAATAAATGAGCATGCATACAAACATGCCTTGTATCAGAACAAATTTTAGAACTAGTTCACAGTCAAAACATTGTTTTGTGTTTTCATAACATAATTCAAATTGAAAAGCCAAAATAAATATTTCTAGAGAGAATACAAACATTAAAATCAATGGGTAGTAAACGTTTTGCTTAACCATATTTTTGATCAGTTTCAATTGAAAATCATAGAATATTTGTAAACTTTAGAAAAATAAATGTTCTTTCAAACTATTAATTGCAGACAGAATATCTTAGAATACATATTAAAAATTTTAAGGTTGTACGTGTGTTCAAGAAAGAATGTTACACTTTGTAAACAATTTTTTTTATCATTAACAATTAGCATTTCATATATTTTATCAAAATAATTAAGTGATTTTGGTTCAAGTAATTTTATGTAATCAATACAATGTTTAATAATTTTCCCAACTTACCATAATAGCAGAATCTCTGATGTCCACAGCATAATCCACTTTGTCTTCTGTCATGTCAAGCTTCAAGAGTTTTGAAACAACTGCTTCCTAAAATGCACACACAAACACATAGAGAAATAAAAGATACAGTTTATTAAATGTCTAGGTCATTTGTAGTCAGAGATGTTCATTAGACTAATATGAGTTTAGGTTTAAATAATACTCTGGATTGAGTAGGCACATTTTTTTTAAATTAAATTCTGAAACCTACTAAAGAACTTTTAGGCAAGAATAATTATTACCCTATACATCTCATGTTTACCAGAATTCAAGCAGTTTTGCATAACTGACTGGGTAAAAGTCTTTCTGAATGATTCAATCCTTTACTATCACTAATTGTGAATAAGCAAACCCAATGTTACACGAACTAAATTTCCAATTTGAAGTGAGATGTTGCAGAGCTGGTCTGCCAAATTTTTACAATATTTGTGAACTATGAGAATAGTGTACAACTACAATTAATCCTAACTGGACCAGTAATTACCTTTCAGTATTGAGTGCACACCTACACATTATATTTAAAAATTAAATTAAAACTAATAAATCTAACCATCTCAATAATGTTTTTCTCCAACATTTATTTGTTTTATTTAAGTACTGATGTGTTGTCATTCTGTAACATTTAGTGTAATTTACAAAAAAGAATGAAAAAAGTTTAAATTTACATTCTGCACATCTCTGATGAATCTTGCCTGTAAACAACATACTTATAATTTTTTTCTGCTCATCATGTGGTTTTCATTCTCTTTATCCAAGTTTATTAGCACAGTATTATTATTTCTGGCAGTTATTCTGATTTGAACTTAATTATTTCAGAAGAAATAATTAATAATCAAGGGTGCTCGAAGATTAGCAATCCTCCTTCACCTTGCTAGAGGTTAGAAGTTCAATGAGAGGTCATATAAACACTTTACAGAATAAAATGCAAGGGATAGAAATAGAATTTTTATAAACAAAGGCTATCCCTTGCATTTTATTCAAGCCCTAACATGCAAGTTCCTTTCTAACCCCCAAAGAAACCATATAATGTACACAAATACCCATTAAGACTGATCATCCCTTTTTTTTTTAGGTAAACAAAGTTTCATTCTGAAATCACAAATTTTAAGAATAATTAAAACTTTTTTATCCGCAGGTTCAACCAGAAATGATATATAAATTATCTTTCAAAATTTAAAATTATTCAGGTTTAAAGACCTATTCCCTACCCCTATACATTACAGGATCGTGTACAAGTGTGTGTGTAGTAGCTATAATGCCTTTTATATTGACAAAACTATATGACAGTTACACCTGCAAACATAAGGGAGTATCAAGCAGAAATGGTAAACGACTACCAAATCCTCCAGACTCTGCAATTTGCACATATAGTGAAAACAGCAATCACACGATCTTGATTAAAACTTTCAAAGTCATCTCGTCTGGATCATCCATAACTTAACTTTTTTTATTAAAGAAAGTTTATCTATTATTTTAAACTCCCAACTTTAACCTTATGGTCCCCAGCACCAGTTTTAAATTCCTTTCTGCATATGGTACTGCATTACATTCAAAATTTAATTAAATCACTTTAATAATGTATGTTATAATTTGAACTTATGTTATCTAAGTTATAACTCCTTTGTTTCAAAGGAAACCTTTCAAAAAATACTTAAACTGCAGTTGAGTCGTGTGATCCATGCACTATGAAAAATCTCAACTTTAGCAGTGGTTCACTCTTAGCCACATAAGCTGGCAAGGTACATGAGTTTGTATACACTAAGTACATGTGTTTGACCTACTTGACACGTGATATCCAAAGCCTGTGGCTGGTTTGTCTGGAAAACTGAAATTTATATCCAACCCCTGATGGGTGCCACACCCACCTTCTATATTTTGCCTTGAGATCTACAATATACATGTATTTAATAGACACAAGTGTATACAGTCATTAAAATGAGCTCAGTTGAACTTATAAATATCATTAAACCTTTCAAATATGATTTTTTAAAACACAAATAATACATAATTAACTAAAATATAAAAGTAAGACCTAAATACAATTTAACTGTCTCTCTAACTATTGTATATTTAGATAATAAATTGCCGTAAGTGCTATAGTTAATCAAGCAGACAACAGTACTAATGACAGTTACATGTACATTGTGAGGAAAACTGCATACCAATTTCAGATTAAGCACTGGTGGAGTATAGCGTAAACTGTTGTCGCCTGGATTGTGAAAATGTATAAAGAAGTTGGCATCATTTGTGTGTGCAAAGTGTTAATGAAATGAGTCACTGAGTAGTAGTTGCTGTATAATAATAATAAAGCCCCATGGGCACCAGTAGACATATCAGCATAAATAATAAAAAACAAAGAATCGGAAAGGAAAATTAAAAAGAAACTATAAATAAAAAGATAAAGACATGAAATTATGCATATTAAAAAATCCAGTTTTAAAAAACTTCTACAAATAGCTAAAAGGTATGTATATATTTACATTTCTTAATTTTAAACATTTCATTGCAGTGCACATTGATGATAATAGGTAGAATTAGTGATATAGTAGAGAAAATGGAAAATAAAATATAAACAGTTACCTTAATAAACTTTTGATATTCATTAGGAGGTTCTAGAGATTATGCAAATGTACTGTGAAAACTATAAGCTAATAAACAGTATTTTTATACTGCATATAAAAATCATCTTGCAGGTGAATTATTTAGAGTCTGAGTGCAAATAGCTACATTAAATAATGATTTTTTTTATTACAAATAATGGAAAAAATAAAAATTAAATATTATACTTTTTGAAACTACAAACTTTTATGAACATTCTTGTCAAATTTTAAATAATTTCATGAACTAGTTTTATTTTTGGAATGAAATATGAAAAGAGCACCATTACGAGTAGAATTCATAGCTGGGTCTAATAGGGTTACATAACACAGCTTTGCTACAATTAAGTCTGTTTTGAATAACTTAAACTATAGTTACAATTGCTGCACTATCCTATCCTTTCTTGTTTTTTTAATTGACTTCATTCCTTTACTCTGTAAATTCTTGAACATTTCAGAATGTACATATACTGCAAACTATACTGATCAAGATGAAATATTAAGTACAAAAATTTCTGAAGTTTCAACATTTTGTGAAGAGTAATTAGAAAAATGTTTGTTACCATACATGCACATGTCAAATGTTTGTTGTTGTTACCAGCATTCTATTGTTCATCATTAAATTTCAATTCCCGTTGAATGAATCTGTAACCACTCATGAAACTCTACTTTGAGAATAGTTACAGGCAAAGTTGAAATACCACTGGACAGAGCAGATTATAAACTATTTACATCAGTGGAGTGAATAAAGCAGTTTGAGAAGTAACAGTAGTTTGTTGTTTCATAGTAAAGTGATTAGGTTTAGTTCCTGCAGAGAACAACAGAATTTAGTAGAATATAAAAAGGATTTAGGAACAAACCACAAATCTGGATTCTCTTATAGTTTCTTTACACATTCTTTGTGTTAAATTATATTTGTTTGAAAGTAATGAAAATATTCTTATTTTCTTCTGTGACTGATTGTTTATAGTTAGGCACAAAGGTACACAATGGGCTATCTATGCTCTGTCCATCATGGGTATCGAAAACTGGTTTCTAGTGTTGTAAATCTGCAGACATCAGGTAAGCCCAGTTAGGTTTAGAGAGTACGGTAAATGAAGGCAAAATATTTCAGTAACTCTAAACACATGACTCAAATCCTTATTTATTGAATATTACCGTTAACTCTGTCATATTCAAACAAGGTGTATAAATAAAATAACTTATCACATATTGAAGAGAAACTATTTATTAGATTTAAACTTATCTGGACCAATAACACTGTTACTAGTCTGACCAATGAAATTGTGACAGGTCAGGTTGTAAAACACTGATACATATCTTAAGTCAGTTTTCTATGTTTTTACGATTTATCGCCACAACCAGTAATCAATATGAAAGGCAAAATAAAGTAACAAAAAATATGTTTATAGTCACCAATCAAAGTGAAAGTGATTTCTTATATGTAAAATGAAACTTTTACAACAACAAAAAAGTGAAATTCTAAATAAAAAAAAAGTATGTTTCATTTTTTTCAAAAATGTTTTTATACAATTTTGGAAATTTCAAAATAATAGAAAAGTAAGTAAAATTGGATGAATTTTTTAAAAGTCAAAACTAGGTACCATTTAGGATGTTTTACTAAGTTGCATACAATTTTGAAAATTATTTCCTCTGTGAAAAGGAAAACAACCAAAGTATATCAATTATTGAATAAAAAGCAGCTATATAGCAACAACAACAAATCTCAAGAAGAGAATTTAATACATACAGGGATACCAATGTTATGTAGACCCTCTAGAAGTTTGGTTTCCTGCTTCAGTACTTGCACCAGTGAGAAAACATCTGTGATTTCCATGTCAAAGTACATGCCATTGATAAAAAGAGCCGAATCAGATGGTGCCAAATTATGATGCTGCATAAACATCTGGAAACATATAAACATAATAATTAACACATATCTTTACTGTTAAGTCAAGAAAACATAAAAAACAATTTTCACAAAAAATAGCTATTGATATGTAAGAACATAAAAAGTATAACATAAATTAGATTTTTTTTTATGTATTACATTCACTGAATATTTTTTCTTTCATACCATACTGGAAATCATCGTAAGTTTTTAACTGTAATTCCTGAAATTTTAACCTAATGATAAATATTAAAAAAGTCCTAACAATATATACAACAGATGCACAGTTTTTAATGTGTAAAATGTTTAAAAACTGGAATTCATAAAACAAATACTTTAATGAAATAAAACTTTTCTGTGGCCACTCAAAATAATATATAACACACCTCATTACTAAATACAATAAAATGTCCACTAAAAATTTCTTGTAAACAAGTACAATATATTTTAAGAATTTCATTTTGTTTACAATATATAGTTTGAAAACAAAAACATCATAACTATTGTATATGCACCTTAAGAAAATTTTTTATAAGAATCATATTATATTAAATTTAGTATTTAAGATAATGTTAAGAACCAAAATTTGTACTAATCTTCCTTTCAAACTCTTTCTGATATAATTCATCAAACGATGATGATACAAAAAATAGTATTTTCAATATAACTATCTATTAAAAGATTAAAGACTGAACTCACCTGCTGATTTGCATCAATTTCTTTTTTTATCTCAGGCTTAACACTTATGTGGACAAGGGAACGAGCCTGGGTTGGAAAGTTCTGGGCAATATCTTGCATCACTTTCAAACTTTCCTCCACAGGTGAACTGATTATCTTTTGGGCAGCTTGTAAACTGAGTTCTGTATGTATATAGAAAGGGCAAATCTCATATCTATAATAAGTCTAAACAAAATGTTTCTCATAGAATAAGACACAAGTGTCACTCACTCAGAATACAAGCAAACTTGGTACACATTTATTTCTTTAACTATCTTTTCCTTTAATAGTTTTTTGTTGAAAAATGAATTTTTGTTTCAGTTATTTTGGATTATCACTTTATTGGTTTGGATCTCTTTGAAATTTAATAAAGAAACAATAAGTCCCTTGCTTTTTGATCCTAAATTTTAATTCTAAGAAAGTGTAATCAAATTACCCAAAAGCTCTAAATGGAAAACAATACTTTCTAAATTCTGGAGTTATATTTATACACTTGTCAGGTTACCAGAAACATTCTACAATGAGAACTACACTAGAAGATAATTGCATTTCATCCACTTAATTCATACAAGTGTCCAATACTCTGATGCCAAGTCCATCCTCTGCATACCTTGTAATTCCCAAACTTTCAGTGTTGCTATCTCCTTTGTACTATCAAGTACAAAGCTTTTGAAATTTTCAAGTTCAATCTTTTTCTCGGGATACAGGTCACTGTGAATGACATTACAATAAACACGCATATATCAATATTCTTCTCAAGGTTAACATCCTATATTAAATTATGGTACACTATTTAGAGTTATTCAAAGTTATTTTTCTTTTAGACATATGACAAGAGAAATTTTGAAAAATACATATCTAATTATGTAATGAAATAAATAAATTGCTTTGGTCAAGAATAATTTTTTAGAAGGATCATAAACTTTTAGACTTAATCTCTAATGCAAGAAAGTAGTAAGATATAAAAGAAACACTTATTAAATGTTTATAGCTTACAAGAACCTAAAAAATGGTAACAACGATTATTAAACATCTTCTACACAAGTAATTCAAACCCTCAATTTGCAGTTTGAATACGACTGAATATAACAAATAACCTTTCAGACTTTATTTAACAGTTTTTCTTCTTTAAGACTGTCAATTGATAAGCAACAATAGAAATTTATAAAACTTCTTGAATAAGTATTTAATAATGTTCTCAATATTTCATGTTGACTAAATTGATACCTTGAAAAGCAATTTTACTTATCATGACCACTGAACATCTTTCAAATTTAAAACTTTTATGTATAAATAACTAAAATACGTAACTCAAAAGTTAATATTTTCTTACACTGAAAATGTATTTCTGATAGGTACTTTAAGCATTACTAAAATTTTTTCACTAACAGCGAACAAGTCTTTTATACCCCATCAGTTTTGCACTATTTCAGAACATGTGATTACCCTCCACACTAGCGCAGCTAGCTCCTTCTACCATTCCAGAATAATACTTTCAAGAATTGGCAGGTACAAACCAGAAACACCGGCATATCAGTCAGGAGGAAGGGTGGGATGAGGTAAGTATCTATCAGAAATATATTTTCAGTGTAAGAAAATGTTAACTTCTGAAATGGTACTATCTTCGCTCACCCAAAGCTAAAATCTCGCATTGCCAAGGTGGAGGGGCTGATAAAGGTGCATCAATATCCAATCACATGGAAAGCGACCTCACTGAAAGAGGAGGTGTGTAAGAATATAAAAAGAAAGCACACCTGTGGGGTACAGCACTACTTCTGGAACAGGTATACTTTTTGCCCAGTAATTAACACATGAACCAAAAGATGGTGGAATTGAATTGGAAGGCACCAATGCATTCAGGATAGAGATGTGCAGCACCAAATCAGTGGAAAATTGCTGTATAACCATGAGTTGAAACAGCACAGCAACAGCATGGATGTGACAATGGGCCCATATAAGTATGTGCCAAGGGTAGTGCCTTGGATTACATTAGAGTATGTCAAGTACGGTCTTTCCGGGCAAAACATCCAATGGAAATGCTTTGTATAAGATATTGTGATCAACAAGTGCAGTTCTCCTGGGAAAAAAACATCCAGGGCAAGTGCCTTGGATACTGAATATTATTGTATAATTCATTGTTTGGAACTGTAATGACTATAACAACCATAGCCCTCTTCTTGCTCAGTGGGTACACATGGGCTGGAAAGCTTTAATTTGTTTTTCAAAACCCACTCAGGAGGAAACCTCCACAGTCTACCATTCCTGTGACTAAGAATTGGAAGTGTGTTCCACTAGAAGAGGAGGAGGAGGAATACACATTGGAGAGTCCATACGAACAACACACCAGAAACAGTGCAATGAAACTAGTAACTTTTAGTAAAAAAAAATTTAAATTATATATACACACACACACCACTGGACAAGCTGCTGGAGGTCTTACAGAAACACTCCATCTCAACAGTGAGTGTTACAGAATTATTCATATCTAGTGAAAATATAATATGAAGCATACCTGACCAGGCAACACCCACCACCAGATTGGATCCTGAAATATGATATGTATCAACTAAAAAGATATAGAAAAAGTAATGTGTCGACTTACTCCAGTCAAAGGTGAACAGATACGTGTAGAATCACCACAGGAGGAAGACGATACCTGCTCAAGGAAGACACAGCCAGGCTGTGCAGATAATGTGCGATGAATGTATTGAGAGTTGTACACACCCCAGCCTGAATGATCTCTTCCAAAGGCTGGTGAAGACGAGCAGCTAAAAATATAGTTAGATGACGAACTGGGTACATAGAAACATTGTGCTGATGGCGACCTTCCATGAACGAGTCAGAATACACCAGTTGTTTGAGTTGATGAACCTAACCAGTGAGCAATAGGGGACAGATCATGGGAGATGGAAGGAATCCTTGAAATAATTAGATAGGAACAATAACATGAAAGGAAGCAGTACAAGCCACATGACATCTCAGTTAACAAACTGGACAAAGAAGTCTATCCAGAACTGAATGGGAGTACCAGTGTTAAATGGAAATTAACGAAATAGAAGAGAAGGCCAAACCATCTGCTTGGGCAGCAGAAGGAAGGCTTGATCAGGACAGAGGATAACAAAGAGGAATGGGAAAGGATACAAGAAACATCCATGGCATAAATACTGGGATGATGATGACCGTAAGCAAGAAAAAAGAGGAACAGAACTTAATGGAAAGATGGTACAAGGAACACATAGCAATGGGTTCAAATTGAGAACTGGACATGTCATAAAGGACATAACTGAGATCCAATATGGCAAAACAAAGGGATGTGGAGGACAAGACGAAAGGAACAGAAAAGGAGGGAAATAATGGGAAAAACAGAAGGTGTTCAACAGGGCAATGCTATAACTAAAAACAGTTAACACGGACAAACCCTGAGCAAACAACCAGAACTAGGAAAGACGAGGTACTGAAGAACAGGAAGGGCAAAAGCCACAGCAAATGGACCAAGGTCTGAAGATAGACCACTGGCTCTGGTACAGGAGTTTGGTGACATTGAAATGAACTATATCTGATTGCAGTTGTTGGAGGAGAGACTGGAAGAGAGGTAAGGGCAGGGGATGACACTCCAGTAAGGGCCAGAGCAGAGATAACCATGTATGAGCAGGCTAATACAGAGCAACAAGCACAACAAGGAGTGATTTGGATAAAGGAAAATACTCTGGAGAGGAAGCTGATCATAGGTTAGGCATATGGCAAACACATCTACATGTGGTGTTCCCAGTTGAGAACACACCCACCAAAATACCCGTGGAAGAAGGGACCACTTCATGGGGAGAGCCTGGTTGGGTCGAGATAAATAATTGTTTACCAGATTCGTAATGCCAGGAATATGATACGCCAAGATCACCATGTAGTGGACACGGGCCCAGTGAAGAAGATCAAGAGTCTGAAAACACAGAGATCTGGAGTTGGTACCCCCCTTACTTGGTGACAGTCGATGACAGTGGAATATCTGAATGAACCATAACCACCTGTCCCCTCAGGAGTGGGAAGAAATGATACAGACCCCAACGAACTGTCAAAAGCTCCAGGATATGGAAAACGTAGAGTAGTATCTTTGACAGACTATTGACTGGAAATCTCTTAATATTCGAGGAAAGCCCCTTAACCAATCAGAAGTAGGAGGAGTTCCATTGGTCAGGAAATGTCCACTGAAGGGAACACATGTGAGCTCAATCCAAGGGAATGAGAGCTTCCAGGGAAGCCACATCCCCAAAAGAGAGAGCCCTCATGCAGTGAGACAAGGAGTGGGTAGAGCCATTGAGACTGCTCACTTCATATTCCTGAGCCAAAGTGGAGAGGGTTTGGCCTGATGAATATGGGAATTGAAGAAAAACTTCCATTGGAATAAGATATTGTGTGGGGTTAAGAATGGACGACTCCAACTGGATTAGAAAATCCTACTCAATTAGCTTTCCAAAGAAGTAAGCAGGCGTGATTGACCAATGGGGCATGAGAAGAGGCAAGCAGGAGCCAGGTATCCATGAAAAGAAGAGTCTAAAGACCCAACAAGTGAAAATGATGGGTAAAAGAGCATACTACTTGACAAAACACACAGAGCTGATAAAGGACTAAATGGCAGTGTCCAGAACTGGAAAATGCAACCCTCATCGATGAACCGTAGAAAACGACATGACACTGGAGCAATTGGAATATAAAAAAAGGCATCCATCAAGACAATTTGGTCATCCAGAGTTCCAGGGAAAAAATACCCGTAGTGAGAGGTAGGACTTTATAGAGAAGTGAGGAGGCTCCAGATAAGAGTTCAACTGGGACGGGTCTCCAATCTCCTGTCTTTTGAGGGACAACAATTAGACAGGAATAAAACCCCTATTGATTGGGTACCACCCATTTGATACAGCTCCTTGAAAAGACTAGTCAAGATGACTGGAAGAGGCATGATCCTGAGGAGGAGGGAAGTAGATAGGGGAGAGGAAGCAAAACTGAAGGCAGAAACTTTCAGACATAACCTGTGGAACTCACGGAACTGTCACAAAGTGTAGCCAAAAAAGACTTATAAATTAACATAGTCAGAGAATGTACTCATTACTGATAAAGTAATAAAACCTAGAAATTTGTAGTCTACAAGGTACATAATTATAATGAACTTGCAAAACTATAAAATTCAATCTAAAACAATAAGCAACACCTAAACTACAAAAGCCCTAAAGGAACCGAGAAGATAAAAGACATGTGAATATCGAACTTATAAGCCCACTCAAAGAACACCAATAAAACAAAGGACACAAAAGTAAAACCTACCCTGAAGAGCATACGAATGAAAAGGCACCCAGTTAAAAATAACAAACTTTAACTCAAACATAATCCCCAATTAGAGGTGACTAGTAGTAAAAAAAAAGAAACTTACAAACTAACTAACATAAACAGTGAAAGGAAGTATAAATAATGAACGAACACACACATAAAATTGACAGAAGTTACAATTACTCAAACAGTAACTATCAGGCAAGAACGGTACACATACCAAAAATTAAACAAAAACAGAGTAATAATCAAGCTCTAAATGAAAATTTAAACTAAAGTAAATTAAATGGTAAAAGAATTATAAAAATCTAACATACCAAGTACTGAGCAGAGAAGACTTGAAAGACTGAAAATATCACGCGAGGAAATTATGCCAATCCACAGAAGATCACATAAACTTGCTAAACACGGGAGTGAGGAATAGATGCTGAAAAACTTACCACAGAACAATAAAAAAGAACAACACCTAACCCAGGAGACTACATGGAGGCTCGGTAACAGTTGGTAGGTGCAGTAGAAAGAAATTTCCACTCAATAGTTATATCTTTCTTCACAAAAAATCTTAATGTAAAAGGAAGAAATCGTTGGCCGAACATAAGACATGAACTCCCTGTGAACTAAAGCCTGTACTTCTCCAGCAGACATTGCCAGCTCTGACACCTGGAGACTCATGTCAGAACCATTGTTGACTGTTGCAGGAATTTCATCATCCATCATATATTAAATTTCGATTTCATATGAACAAATCAGAATTCAGAAATATTTCGAAAACAGGCAAGTAGAAAAAATGGAAATCAAACACAAGAAGTCAAAATTTGATGTTGAAACAGATATAAATTTGTGATCAAGCACAATCAAAATTCTCTAGTTATATGGAGAGTTAAAACACACATCTACACACTAGAATGCTAATTGAGAAAGTGAGGAATGTTCTGGAATGGTAGAGGGAGCTTAGCTGCACTGGTATGGATGGTGCAGTATTATTGGTGGAGGATAGTCACATGATCAGCACATATTCTGAAATGGTATGAAACTGATAGGGCACAAAAGACTGGTGCGCTGTTAGCAAAAATTTTTTATAAATGCTTAGGGAGCAGTCCAGGATTAAGATAGCTTTGGATGAGGTAAGTCATTTCAGAAATACTTTAGTACTGACATTTGTACACCATATAACCCTTATTTTGTGGAATTGGCAAAAAATAAGATAAAAAAATCAAATTTTCATTTCTATACAGCCCCAAGGAGTTTCATTTACTACATTTATCTTTTTGGCCCATCCTAAATTATACAAGAAACTATCATCCCTTAAAAATATAATGATTCACATCTTGTTTTTCATGTGATTTCTTTACTTTGTTAGTAATTTTTACAAACCTTCAATGCTAATCTTTTACAATATCACAGAATGTGGTCCAAACAATTATTAATGAAGTTCAGCTTTGAAAACAGCTAGAGCTAAAAGCTAAAACCAATTGGATAAAAAGGATTATAATCTAACTATATTACTGCAAAGTAGATAAAATATTCTAAGCAGTAATTGCAATTTCTTGAGATATTGGCTATACGGAGGAGTGCTATTGGGGTGAACAAAGAATTCTAATTCACTTAAGAACATACCACAGAACTGAAAGCTTTTTTAGTTTCTCTCGATTGTTCCTTTTATTCCTGAACACACTTTCATGACTAACTTCATTTGTTTGAAAGCTTCTATGACAAGACATCTGGTAAGCTTATTTAGGTTCAGCAGTATGATAAGCAAAAATAATATGTTTCCTTATTAATTGGGTATTGTTAAGTTTATATATTCAAATATTATACATAAATATAAGAAATTACTGTTGTAGTGAAAATAAATCTTATTTATTGGATATAAATTGATCTCAAGAATATTGTTAGAAAAAAGCAATATAACTAGCCTAAGGTGAAGATAAATCTTTGTTTTTACCATGTTTTTTTTATTACTTATAGCAGAAAGAAGTGACTATTTCAATTGTTGAAATAATGTTTCAAAAGAAATATGTTAATGCGAAATCAATAAAGCTGAAACTGACTGGATATAAAAAATCAAATTTTCTAGTTAAAAGTATACATCTTTAAGTTCTAAGATGATAAATAACAGGAAGCATTTTAATGCCTGCAAAACAGTTTCAACAAAATTTTGGAAATTTCACAACCTAAAAAATAATAAACACTAAATCAGGTTATATGAATATTTTTAAACAGATACTATTTAAAAAGACTGTAGCAAGTTTCAGTGTTTTTTCAGTGTGAGAAGGGAAAAAAAAACATGATATAAGTGATACCTGTTGTCTAGAAATGGTTAAAACCTAATTTTTCTTTTTGATTTGATATACAACATAAAAGTATTATGAAATATTTTGTTACTTACAGGAGTTTTGTAAAAATAAAACCTTCAATTTCATCTGGTTTATCTTGTTCTTCTTCATCTTCATCTCTTTGTTTTTCATCTGAAAATATTTCATTTTAGGAAGACTAAATAAACATACAAGAACACAAGCTATGTGTATATGTATTTAACAGCCTAATCCCATAAGTACATATGTTCATTAACATTTACACATTTAACAAACATATCCTTATAACAATAAAATTAAAGGGTAATTGAAACCATTTGTGTTTGATATTATTCATTAAACTTAATACTTGTCACCACTTCAAAACAACCTTGCAATTTCCTTGTATAATGAGTATATTATAAAATAATTAGAAGAGGTTTTTTTTTTAATATTTCTGACTGACCAATTACAGCAGTTTTCAAACCATGGGCCACAACACATTAAGGGGAAGAGTATAACATACAACTAATACACATGTTGTGAAATTAATATAAGTATTATATTTCAAATAAATTTGATGTGAAAATTAAATCAACAGTGGGCTACTTGTTATAGATTTAAAGAGTAAGATATGCCTTAACTTAATGTCACCTAAAAAGCTTGTCTTATGAGGAAAGCCAAATATTTGTAGACATAATAGTATTCTTGTACATAAAACCAGCCACATTTTATTGGTTAGCTAACAAGTTCTCTCAGAAAGATCTCCCACTCTCGAGGTAAAAAAAGGAAGAGTGGCAGACTTTCTAGCATTATAATCATAGCAAGCTTGTTATACAACACACAAATGTTAATATAATACATGCAAAAAAATTACCTTATTTTTGTGATGGATTGATTAATTGTCCATAATGGTAAGAAAGGTGAGGAGACATTTTTGTAGAGAAGCAAATGGATACAAGTATAGCAAAAAAAGCAGAAAAAAAGTGAAAATACTGCCTTTCATATATGGTTTCTGAATGTTTGTTTTGGCTCAGAAGAAGAACTAAGGCTTCACTGTGTAATAAAGTTTTGGCCAATGATGGCCTAAAATCCAATAAACTTCAGAAACACATACAAAATATGACACTGGAGAAATCATTAAAATACTGTCTCACTGCAAACTGCTAGAACCAGGAAAAAAAATTTTGCCAAGGAGCTTAACTGCCTTCCACTATCAAAATTCCACAGTAAGCCATGTATTGGTTAAAAACCAACTCAAGTTTAAAGTCAAAATCCCACAATAACAACTATCTGACATAGAAGTAAAAAGCACTGTAAAAAAACAATAAGAACAAACAAAAGAAAAACATTTTTTTAGTTTATTGCTGTGTTTCTATCTGTGATGTACGTACTGAGCTTGCTGTATATAAATCAACTCACAGAGCATCACCATATCATATGTACACATTTATATTATTATAGTGATGAGCTGCTGCAAACTCAATATTTTTCTAAAAAGGCTCAGGAAAAAAGTTTGAAAACCACCAATTTAGATTGTAACCAATGAAACTGTAATACCTTAATCTAAATTAAAATGCAGAGCCTTGCAAAATTTTATAAATAACCATATTCCTGAAACTCTTACTGAGGTTATTATCTTTATTATTTCACACTTAGAGCTAAATCAATATCTGAAAACAAAAACGTCATAAGTTAGTAAATCTGAATATTATCCTTTTCATCAAGGAAAAAAAAAAACAACTCATGTGCAATTAAACTTTTTTTGTTTACAACTGTTTCAGTTAAGAAAGAAAAACTAAAATTATTTTTAGTCAATAATTAATGGTTATCAAAATTACAAAGTATTTCCATGCACTTTAACCTTAAAAAATGATCTTTTAATTTTTATGTTTCCATTAATGAAAGATTAGTGTATCATTGTTTACTTTGTTTCCACACCAGTACAAAAAATTAAAGGTGAATGGAAAAAAAAAAAAGCAGAGCTACTGTAACAATACATGAACAGAATTGTTAATCTAATATTATTTGGGACTAGAGAGGAGAGTGTGTAATAATATGGTTGTGTCTTATTGTAATAATTTTCTGATTTAAATTACTTTAAATTAATAAAAGTATATCACAAGTAGTCTTAAAAACTATAGCAGTTGAAACTACTATATTTTATCGTTTCATAACATAGAAAATAATAATTTTTTATCTAGATATATTCATGCAAGTTATTTCAGCAATCAGTTTGTAAGTCTGGAAGTAAATAACTTGCATTATTCCTTATCTCAGGCTTAAGCTACAGCTACATACCACCAGTGACATATGCTGCTACTTTTTTTTATTCTGGGGGGGGGGGGGGGGGGCGGGGGGAGGAAAACAAAAAGAAAACACTTACGTTTATTTACTAGTAGTAGGGTTAGGTTAAG